CACACTGCAATATAATATGCGATGCGCAAGTGTGTGGGGTGCACAAACAAAAAAATAAAAATAAATACGTCCGGCGTATACATAGACCTATAAATTCCGTTTTAGGGGTGCCATATATGTATACATGTGAGTGTATGTGTAAATGTATATATATATTATATATATACATATATACATGAAATGGAGATGTACACGCGAACAAAGTGCGTCGCATATGTATTATGCGCGATAAACAATCGAGTATAAATATATATATATATACATACAAGCACATATAGTAATTCACGAGACTCATCGCGCCCGCGCGTATGTGCCGATGATAATTAACTCCAACAAGGGACGTACAATATATGAACATACATATAAGTATAATGTATATGTTATATTATGGACTGAAAATGTAGACAATATATGTATACGTAATGTTCTGTCGCCGTATGCAATAGAAATAACCATTTTTTCCCCTTATGACGGCTTGTCTCGATTTTTATGATTTTTTTATCGGCCACCATTTAAAACTTTAGACCGGAAAATTTACCACAACAATATTAATACGATATACTACAGCCATCATCGCGTGTGTGATGTGTGTAATTTTATGTTGTATGAAATCATCGTCTGCACACAATTTGTTGCACTTCGTCGTGCGGGGGTGATACCGACACGTAATGAATTTTTTCTTCACGTTACTTATAATAGGAGTTTAATCATGTGAAAGAGGAGAAAAAAAAATTAAAACGCATATTTTTTTTTTAGTATAGAATTTCACTTTTATCTTTTATTTCTATTTATTCACTAACAGTAGGTATATTCAAATTATTATTATTATTACATATTTCAGTAAATATATATATATATTTTGGTTTCACAAAAAAAAAAAAAAAAAAAATGAAAAATAAATAGGTATTATTATTATTAATTATATGTATTATTAAATTTCGTATTATTACACACTCGCTATAAATTATTTTATCAATATAATATAATATATAATATATGTATTAAAGTTATTATTAAATAATTTTTTACACGTTGACGCTAAATGTAAGTACACACTTATATATATATATAAATATATAAATATATATTTTATACATTTTTATATGTATATTAAATGTGTATTATATAATATGTATATATTATATAGTCTATTTTTATTGAGGATCATTCGAGGGGTACAAAAATAATAATAAAATTAAAAATAAAACAAGATATACTAATGTTTTCCTTAAAAAAAATAACCTATAACAAAATCATATATAAAAAAAAAAAATTATATATAAAAAAAACAAATAAATAATAATATTATCTCTTTGATCTACAACACAGAGGGAATACTTTTCCGAGTCTCGGTGTGCTCGTTCACGAATGAATGTGTGGTGTGAGTGTGTGCGGTTATCGATTTGACCTGAAACAGGGTGCCATACTAGGTTTTAGTAAAAACAAAAAATAAAAAAATAATAAATCATATTATACAAAATAAAAAAAAATAATAATAATATAACATGCACATACTCAAAATAAATCAATAAAAAATATTATAATCATATAAAGAGCTGATTGTATGGAAGTCGACCGTACAACGTCGCATATTCTCTGTGTTCCCTTAAAGTAATATTATTATTATTATTACTATATTTTTAAACCATACATATATCTATGGAATGTAAAAAAGCTTCAAATGCCATTTTTCAAACGCGTTTCAAGTAGATAGCTATTATAAGATATCTATATATTTTTAAGTATATACTGCAGGGTATAACAAAAATAGCTGACAGATGTAATTAACCACCTATATATATATATATATACGCGTGTGTGTGTGTGGTGGGGGGATGGTAAGTTTTTTTCTTATCATACATATGTAACTATTCTATCTATTTAAAATCTGTTCAAGATTCTGATACTAAAATGATAACTATGAAATGATCGCCCAAAATACAGAATTCTATCATGATTGTCAAAAAGATTTGGGTGCGTAGTCAAATAGAAAAACGTGTTGTCTTTTAGGAATAAACTTTCTATAACACATATAATATTTATGAAAATGTATAAATAGTGTTATGTACAATTCAATAGTTTTATATTTTTATGAATACTCTGTACAACGACGACTTGCAAGAAGGTAAATCGTAAACACAAAAATAAAACTTTTTTATTCAGACGCGGAGGCCGGTCTCTAAAAAATGTACAAGAGCCAAAAAAATACACGCAAATTAAATAAACCCAGAGTCATTCGTCCTTTTTACACACCACATATACAGAACAATATGATATAGATTCGGCTGTATACATTATTATAATGTTTTTTTTTTCGTTTTTTCCTCGGAGCGCATCGTAGCCGCACGTATAACATACAAACGGCATTCTGCCGTATACTCACGCGTACAAGGGTCACATTCGCGAGGGAACACACAATGGTAAATAAAGAGAGAAAAGTAGAGAGATAGAGAAAAAGAAAGATAAATACATAGCGGGGGAAAAGAAAGAGAGTTAGAGAGAGTGAGAGGGAGAGAGAGAGAGAGTATATTATATTATGTACGCGCTTATAACATGTCCCGGCGGCATAACTCTTGAGTACACGACAATTGCAGTGTGTATGTGTGTGTACTTTTCGATTTTTTTTTACGATCCGATAGCTTCTGAATGAAGTTATTCCGAAACTATATACGTGAGTATAAATGTATGTATAAATACATACATAATGTGTATATATATATATATGTAAATACACATATATCGAGTGTTAGTGACGGTGGTGGTACGGTTTTTATATGTTATAATATTTATGTGGTGTCTCCAGCGGCATATAGGATATCGTATATTTAATGCATATTACTCAACCAATATAGAATATACCGAATACAATTAGAATCGGATATTATAATATATTATATTGATTAACATGTTTGACGGAACGTGTTTATCGCCGGCATAAGACTGAATTGGTTTATACGTAGGTTACAATATGCGTAAACAAATAATAAAATACGATAATTTGTCCGGTGGCGTTTTATGTTATATTATGTGAGATTCTATATCGACAACGATGACTGTACACTGCTATATACGACATTTATTATTGTGTGCGACCACCGGTCGGTCGTATAAACTTGGCGAACATCGATAGATAAAAAAAAAAAATATATCGCAAAAATCAAAACCCGAGACTGGACGAAAACTTGTTATAACCGCAGCTACCGGAGTGATGTCGGGTACCATCGTGGTTATCATTGTGGCATTGTGCATTACTAATATATTATGTTATATAACCTATATGATTTTATAAAATATAGTTTCACGTTTTCGATTTTCATCCATTTATTATAATTTATTATGTATCGCGACTGTTAAAGAGATACATTAACGCGCGTGACGAGTATGACACACAAAGGTGTCCTGCAATATAAAATAATAATGCATTAAAATATGATATATTTCTTTTATTCGATAATGATACATCGTTTTTCTACCGGCAATTACATCAATTATTTTTTATTAATTTTCAAAAAATAAAAATAAAAATTGTATAATTCATTCTATTTTATTATAATATTACGAGTATAGGTGTAATATATACACAAATATTTCGTGATGGTTATTAATGAAAGAAAATCCCGACTATCTATGTTTATCTATATTTTTTTTTTACTTTTCACGCGTTATAGTTTTATCTTCAACATTTCAATCGAATATACGTTCGACTTTATGATACGTAATATTTAGAGTGACTTTTCTGCGATATAAATAATGACGTTTGCAGCACGATTGCTATAGAACTCTCGTTTATTTTTCGGCTGTGCAGTCATAGATGACATATTATACGGTCGGCGATAACATGAAATAACATATGCAGTAAAATATAGAAAAAATAAATTATACACGTCTAAATACCGACAAGGACGGTACCAAATTTGGCATTTCTGGTTTATTTAAAAAAAAAAAAAATAAATAATAGTAATAATATAATAACACCGGAGACCCTCGGGCGCATGGGACGTCTGTATAATATAATATAGCGACTAGTTTTTGTGGTGACCGGACAAATTGAAACGCTCGAGCCAAAGACTCCATAAGGCCGCGACGGCTGACGATTTTTTTTCGTCGCCATCGCCGCCGCTCTCGCACACACGTGTACGAGGGCCCAACCGTCACTGATCAATTATTCCGACAACGCTGCAGCATGTGCAACAGCATTGCCTGAAACAAAAGAACGAAATTCTCGAAATGTCATGAAGCCGGACGCGGACGATGGTGGTTCGGGGGTGAAAAAATATTTATATAATATATAGGTATATAAATATTTTGTATAATGCCTATGGTATATACACACACTTAAACGTATACCTATGTATATTGTTATATGCATGTTCTATATCTATTTATATGTATTGAAAAATGTATTTAAAAATGCGGTCGTCCTCTTACCTGGTGATCGCGATCTGAAGGATTCGAATAGGATTACGTGTGCGCGTGGCATTCCGGCAATCTTGTAGCAGCGGCAAAAGCAGTGCTTGTCTTGTCTCGGCGATGGCGGCGACGGTGACGTCTTCTTTTCGCGATGCGAATTTCGTTGCCATCGTTTTTGCGTCAGGCGACGAGCTTGGCCGCGCGGTTTATCTTTGGGACGATTCTGGGTGACGAGCGTAGTTGGGGGGGGAGTTAAGGTGATTAAACACACTTATTACGTATATAGATTTCGTATTTACATTTACAATATTATATTTAAAATATATATATAATGAAAAAAGCGATATAAACCTTATGAATACATTATTTTATAATAATATATAAAGGGGATAATATACAAAATTATACATGAACACAACTAGAAACAAACACGATGGTCGCGCGCGCGACAATAGCATATAATATAATAATATTATATTATAAAGTTGTATGGATAAAAAAAAAAAAAAAAAAAACGAAAATTACAAATTTATGTACAGAAATAAAAACGTTAAAAAAATATGGCGACGAAGGGGGTAAAACATAAAATAAAAATAATAAAACGATAAGGAAAATTAATGATAACTCGTATATAATAGGTCGGGGGTAGTTTAAAAAAAAAGTGTTATCCGTTTTTTCTTTTAGCGATCACCAGCGGCCTGAGCGGCTGCCAGCACGGCGGCCTTCTGCGCTTGCGCTTGTTTCTCCTGCTCATTAAGCTCTTTGATGGCCTGTATCTCTTTTTTCAGCTTCATTCGCCTGTTTTGGAACCATATCTTTATCTGTCTTTCGGTGAGACACAGCGCATGCGCCATCTCTATCCGCCGTCGGCGTGTCAGGTAATGGTTGGTGTGGAACTCTTTTTCCAGCTCAAGGGTCTGGTATCTGGTGTACGTTTGTCGACCACGGCGTCTGAGTCCGTTTGCTCCTGAAACAGAAAACAAAAGATATTAACTAATTGTTTTAATATACGTAGAGTAAATATATCCGTTGTAAGTATAACGTATAGATGGATTAGGTACATCTATATTATACACATCAAATTTTTATAGTATAGTTTTCAAAAAGTTTACGCATATATTAAATATATTAAATTATATCAACATATATAATTGCGACCTGCACCATAATTCAGTTGTAACGAAATCATCAAATTCCGTGTAATATATATTTAATATTAAGTACCAAGTAGATTTATTATATCTATTCATTTCCTATGCTTAAATTATTGAGTTAATTTAATAAACATCTATTGAACCTATCAAACGATAGGTGCGTAATGCGTACGTATTTGTTAATAAATATTTTAACCGTTAAGTCTGTTATAGCAAACCACAATATTCTATAGGAAATTTATGAGACATTTAGAATGAGCTGTAAATATTTTGGATAACATTGAATTGAGATCCAAATAATGAATTGAGTTTCGCAAATACTTTTAGGTTCTTGGAGATGGGTCCAACCAATATTGTTAGGTTATTCGCGGAGTTGAGTCTTTTTCTTTAATAATTGTAATAATAAGTATTAAGAGTCAATTAATTAAAAAATATTAAAAATAACAATAAATATAGGTACTTTTTACCTAGAGAATACAATTTTATCGACAGTTATAAAAAAAAAAAAAAAAATACTAAAAACAATTGAAAATTTGTCATATCTATATAAATATTTTAAAAAGTGTAAAAATTGTATTATAATATATAGGTATAGAAAACAATAATTTGGAAATTTCAAGTACATACTACTATTTTATTATTTTTGGAAATCTAATAAAATTGAAAATATTAAAAATTGTTTGAGGAGAAATAATTATTTTACGGGTGAATATCTAAACATACACTCCATTTTTCACTTGTAATAATTTAATATATTTAAGTATGTAAGTGTATTAACTAATTGTGTGTTACCGGCTAAATAGGTAGTTATAACATTTTATCTATATGGACTCAATTTAAAAACATGAAAGTAGCATGGACTCAATTCAATATCACCGAATATTTTTATCACTTTTTATTAGATATATACATTAAATACTTTATATTACATAAAGGATCAATCTTTAGAATCGCAAACGTGCGCGTTAGCATACATGATATTGTACGCGTTATAATATGTACATAAAAAAATAATTATTCATGTTTATTCGTTTAGTGTGTAATAATATTATAATTGTAATATAATATTTTTTACAATCAGTTTACGAATAAATTATTTTTTAAATTTAAAATCACGTTATATGTATAGATGCATATCGTGCGTGCTCTGTGAAGTGTACGATTTACATCGTAAATCATCATGTATAATTTTATATAAAGTATAAAAGAAATTAAACGATTTAATATACACAACCACATTAATGTAATTACAAATCAATATCAAACACTTAATAACGAAGTCTGCGTAATAACGTATATATGTTTGACATGGTTGTTTATTTTAACGATCGCTATAGTCTTACCACAATTTTCATATGAAAAAACAGGTTTATGATATGAATTAACTTCGGATTCAATATATACATAATTTTCCGACACGTCTCGTTTCAAATTCGTTACCAATTGATTAAATTATTCGTTAAGGGATACATATATATATAACGCACATCATGATATATGATATAGTAGGTATCTTCTATCTATATGAATAATGCATATATGATATACTCATCGAAATTAAATGATGTGTAGAGTTCAGCAATCTGCGATGATATAATATTATGATAGCGAAACAAAATATTTATTAAACACAATGTTTACCTTTACTGCAAGGACTTCACGGGTTTTATTGTGTATAAATAATATTATATTGCATACATTATAGGTACCATAACATAAAAACATTATTTTCGTAAATTAATTTATTTTTAATACTTTTTTATAGTGTTCTAGTACAATTACTTTATGCCGATCGTGACTAGATTCGGGACTTTTTTTTTTTAAACAAGTACATGTCGTAAGTAAAGAATACTACAGTTACATATTATATTATTTTATAGTAATATGTGAACCGTGGTGTAAAAACAACGCAACTTCGGAGGAATAAAAACCAAATATCTGTGTACAATATGATGATGATGAGATGCATCACTAAATCACTAATGGCGATCATACAATACAAGTATATCATCAGTGGGGATTCTGCGCCAATTGGATATACCTATTCGACGACTCTGGTGGCGATGTGAACGCGGGTGAGCGGCCATGCAATTGATTTATGATGTCGGACCGGTGAGTTACGGCCATGTTGGGGACTCGTGACGTCACGCGGCATCCGAAAATAAAAAGTGAGTCTCAGTGACGGCCACATGATACCAGTCTGAAGTGCACACATTTCATGGACTAAGAATTTTTAATTCATATGTGCACACATCGAAATGTATACGAGTATACACGTATATTTATACATATTTTTTTTTGGAAATTTTCCTAACATTGGTTTTATATTTAAGGCAGCGGCAAAGGGTTTTCACACTAGTCACATAGAGTAGATTGTTTTGCAGAGCGTTATATGTATGTATGGGGAAATAGTGAAAAATATCGAAACGACGAAAAATCTTGGCGTTTGGACACGTTCCACAAGCCAAAGTAAATAATTGAATTTGTGGACAAACGCACTAGTGTGTGAGTGTGTGTACAGCGTAAGTGGGATGAACCCATTTCTACTTAAATATATATATACCTATATATTGGACCACGGTGGCGGCGATGGACGCGATTAACAAAGATTATAGAAGACGGTGGCATTTGTGGGGAGGAGCGAGGAGTGAGTTGCCGGAGAGAGACGCCTTCCGTTTAATTCGCACGCGCTATAAAAGTCCTATAGGTATAATGGTATATAATCCGATTAAGAACCCTATGTCAGTATGTATATGTATATATGTGTGTGTGGGTACGTAAACGCGCGTATATAGTGGCGTGTGCCGTAAGATTTTACCTTTTCGGCCGCAACCGTCGATAAATTTAGTCGGCGGTCCCCCATAGATACGAACGGACGTCGTCCGCTCGTGATCAGTCGTATTATAAGTTTTCGGTTCGTGTATATAAGTATATAGATAACATACACATAGTATAAGTATAAAGTATATATATTAGGATACTTATTTCACCCATAGGTATACCATCACTGCGGGAAGCGATACAATAATAACACTTAAGAAACTTTTACCAATACGGTCTTTTTTGTTAATTGGACGCGCGTTAAATACATACTCACACACACACACACACATATATATATGTAATACAGATTTACGTCTGACCAGTAAAACGATTGGATACATTTGCAGACCACGTATTATTACCAATGATTGCGGATTTCATTCTTATATTTATTTGTATATCCGCACTGCAGATGTCTCCTGCCGAATTTATATCTGTATATGGGTTTAATAGGCACATATGTATAATATAATGATAATGGTAATAATATAATTTAATTATTTCAATAAATTGATTAAAAATATAAATCGCATATATTGTGACTATGGTTAACCCTGTTTGCTCGCGGTACAGCGGTAGCTATATATATTGTATCATATATGTTTATATATAATGATACAGTTAAATATGTATCGTATATAATATATATTATAAATTATAATATGTATGAGATGCTACAGTATCGATCTCATTTTGGCCATGATAGAAGAGAGAAAGGGAAAATATGATTTTTTTTTCCATTCCACGCCACGCTGCTATACATGTCAGGATATTTAAGCGAAGGAAGAGCGCCTACGCGCGATATATAAGATAATATATCTACATATTATAAACCATGCTCGGGCGTTTAAATCATAATAATGTATTCATTTGTGGTTGTAATAAAAAAATAATAATAATATTGTTATTATAATATACACGCCCGTTCACCGCCTTCTATATACGTATATTGGGTGTCGAACGATTGGATGTCTTATTAAACGCGCTAAGATTATTTACAACGAACAGATATATACGCCTGCACAGGTATATTATAATAAACATTGCCGAGACTGCCATTTGGCGATGAAAACATTATTAGGTATATTATTTTACGTATTATTACTCAATTTATATTTGTATATAATATAATATACGACACAAGTAACACCTTACGCACCTACATTTAGCGTTGAATTCTAAACAGAATAAAAGTGAGAAAAAGGATATTATAAATTATAATGATATGTCCTAAACATTATCATCTATATAACGGTATATATTCGTGACGGTGGGTCTGCGTTATTGTATATTGTCCTCAAGACCCGTTGCAGCGGGAATCTTTCTGCCGAACAAACACGTTTACGTTTTCATTATATATAAATATATCATATACATATTATATTGTATAACGTACGTAAAGAAAGAAGGAAGAATATTCCGAATAGTATACACTCCTACTGGGATATATGGACATAAATGTATATAATGTAAATAGAATTTTATTATATGCGGCGTGCGATGGGGAGCGCATGACGTCTGATTTGGAGTGTACTTCTTTACCTTGTTGAAAATCGCATTTTTGATCGTAAACATTCCCTCCGGTTCTCTCGGAACTCGTTTGAGTCAGAAATGGGCTAAAAGTAGAGATTTGAAAAAAAACGGCTATCTGTTGCGTATACACCACACGATAATCCCTATTATACTTAATAATATACCTAATAAAGGTATTAAACGAATATATACATATATGTATACGATATGGTCTGCGGTCAAAGATGCTATATTGTTTTCTATTATGAATAAAAGATCTTCGTTTACTCTTTTATTTTTCAAACGTCTGTCGTACAAAACATTACAAAAATAAATTATATCGACTACTCGCAGATATAAACTACAGCCATGTAGGTAAAATATAAATTTCACACGCGCCTCAAGCTAATATATATGGATGAGATATTATATTATTATATAGGTACCGAAGGGTAAATTGCTGGTTGCAGCGTATACC